TCTCTGCGGCAACTGATCCATCCACCGTGACTTCCGCCACCGCAGCAACCACTTCGTCCGCCACCACCTCAGCCTCAGCCGCAACCGCCGCTCCCGTCGCGCACCCCGCTAGCGCCGTCGTCCCTTCCGTAACACAATCCGCGGCGACGACGCTAACTGCGGGTGCGAAGGCCAAACAGCTGATGAAGCCACCCGCTACTGTCACCAGAGCAACTCGCCGAGAAACAGAAACTGCCATAGTGAAGCGAGCCATAAGAAGCACCGCCGGTCCATCGAAGCAAACCGGACTACAGGAACCCCGCCCGCCCAGCAAGAAGGGAGGAGGAGGGGGATCTACACGCAGTGGAACGAAGCAGCTCAAGCTTGCAAAGGCGAAAGAAGATTTGCTACGCCTTCAAGTGGAATTAGCCGCAGCACGCCTTGCTGCCTTGGAAAGGGAGGACTCAGAAGAGGAGGAAGAAGAAGATGACGCCTCCCTATACTCAAGATCAGAAGTCAACGCAAGAGTGAACGACTGGTTGGAGAATAAAGTGAATCTTCCGGTGTTAGCAATCACCAACGAACCTCACCATGCCATAGAAAAACCGACCGCCCACACAGAAGAACCGAGGCAGGGAAAACATGAAGAAACACATCAGTCACCGGCGGGAGGTCAAACTGACGTAGCCCTCCTGGCTGAAGCCATCACTCGGGCTGTCAGCGCCGCCCAACGACCTAAGTTCGTCGAGTTACCATTCTTCAGTGGGTCTCATCAGGAATGGCTACCCTTTCGCGCCGCCTACTACGAGACAGAAGCGACATTCACCGCAGTTGAAAATACGAATCGACTCCAAAGAAACTTAAAAGGGAAGGCCAAGGAAGCAGTAGAAGGCCTACTTATGACCAACGCACAACCGGCTGAAGTAATGAAGACTTTGAAGTCAAGATTTGGAAGACCAGAGTCAATAGCCATGCTGGAGATGGAGACGCTTAGAGGTCTGCCGCGCCTTACTGAGTCACCAAGAGACATATGCATATTCGCCACCAAGGTCTCCAACGTAGTGGCGATACTGAAGACTTTGTGTTGTTTTAACTACATGTACAACCCTGAACTCGCGAAGACAATAGTGGACAAACTGACGCCAACTCTGCGTTATAGATACTATGACTTCTCAGCCATGCAGCCACGTAAAGACCATTGTCTCATCAAGATAGAGAAGTTCTTCAGAAGGGAAGCAGAATTGTGTGGACCCTATGCGCTGCCCGAACAGATGACACCGTATCATACAGCCGCACCACAAAGGAAGACTCAAAGGATCAACAATGTGACTGAGAAAACACACATACTAAGGTGCGTCGTATGTGAAGATACGGGGCACACCAACGCCACAGAATGTGAACAGTTCAAGAAGTTAGATGCAAATGCAAGATGGGACATGGCCAAGTCCAAGCGCCTCTGCTTCAGGTGTCTTCGTTATAGGAACAAGACACACCACTGCCGACCCAAGTCATGTAATGTCAACAGCTGCAAGTACTCCCACCACAAAATGCTGCACTACGAAAAGAAGTCAGAAGATATAGAAGCAAAAGAAAATCAAGGGGCAACAGAGGTCATCAACTCAACTTGTACCGTTAAGAAGCAATCGTATTTAAAAATCCTACCGATCCAGGTCAAAGGACCAAAAGGAGCGGTCAACACCTTCGCGTTGATGGACGACGGCTCAACAGTCACGCTCGTCGACGATAGCATAGTAACAAGCGTTGGAGCAACGGGCCCCATAGACCCACTGAAGATAGAAACCATCAACGACAAGAAAATATCGGAGTCAGCATCAAGGAGAGTCACCATCAAACTAAAGGGGCTCAACGATCACGAAGAACAAATACAAGCACGCACAGTGATGAACCTGCAAGTCTCATCTCAACGGGTCCCACAGGAACTAGTGGAAGAGTGTCAACACCTCTCTGACATCCAAGGACATCTCACATATGCAAACGCAAAGCCACGAGTGCTGATCGGTCAAGATAACTGGCATCTTCTGCTGACATCGGAAGTAAGAAGAGGAGACCAGAACCACCCAGTGGCATCCCTCACGCCACTAGGTTGGGTACTCCACGGAAGCCAGACACGAAGCTTCGGACAGAACATCGATTTCGTGTCACACATCGCAGAGGATCCAGACGAGAATATAGAAGACCTCGTGAAGCGATACTTCGAGATGGACGCACTCTGCATAAAACCCAAGAGACCGAAGACTGATCCAGAAGAACAAGCACTTCGTATCTTGGAAAGGACCACAATAAAGATAGAAGAAGGAAGATTCCAGACCGGTCTTCTCTGGCGCAAAGACGATGTCAAATTACCAGACAACTACGAAAACTCGCTGAAGAGGCTCTTCAATATAGAAAAGAAGATCGATCGTGATCCCACGTTAAAGAAGAAATACGTGGAACAAATGGACGCTCTCGTCGCAAAGGGGTACGCTGAACCCGCCCCAAAACAGAAGACAGCTGACAAGACTTGGCACCTACCTCATTTTGCAGTAGTCAACCCAATGAAACCGGAGAAATTGCGGGTGGTACACGATGCCGCAGCCAAGACCAAAGGGGTGGCACTTAATGACATTATTTTTATTTTTATTAATGATATTATATTAGTTACGGCGGACATCAAGGAGATGTTCATGCAAGTCAAGTTACTAGTACAAGACAGGGATGCACTGCGTTACCTGTGGCGCGGGGATCGACGAGACAACCAACCTCCGGAAGAATACAGAATGCCATCTTTAATCTTCAGAGCATCGAGTTCGCCTTCGACAGCAATATACGTCAAGAACCTGAACGCCAAACAGCACGGGGACACTCACCCAGAAGCCGCAGCTGCCATCATAAAGAAGCATTACGTCGACGACTACTTGGACAGCTTCAGAACCCTCGAAGATGCCAAACGTATGACGAAGAGTATACGAGCCGTGCACATGAAAGACAGCCTCGAGTTGAAACTGTGGAAATCGAACTCAGCATCACTACTAGAAACACTTGGAGAAGACAACCAGACAGAGGACATGGAACTCTACAAAACAGAAGAAAAGAGGGAACGAGTTCTGGGTGTTGTCTGGAAGATCAACTCAGACGAACGCACCCTCAACCTCAACTTAGCCAGAATACCCTCAACACTCCTAGAAGGGAAGCAGCCAACAAAAAGAGAAGCACTCAGAATAGTGATGTCACTCTTCGACCCGCTCGGATTCGCCTCACCTATCATCATCAGGGCAAAACAACTCCTCCAGGAAGTCTGGCAGAGAGGAACAGCATGGGACGACAAGATCAACGAAGACCTGGCGGAACAGTGAGAAATGTGGATGGAGCATCTGAAAAGCCTCCACGAGGTAGCAATCCCGCGGCAATATCTTCACTACAGCGAAGCGGCCTCCCTACAACTCCACGTCTTCAGCGATGCCAGCGAGTCAGCCTACTGTGCGGTTCTCTTTTGGAGAGCTGTAACAGCAGTAGGCGAGGTCCACCTATCCCTCATTATGGCAAAAGCAAAGGTGGCACCGTTAAAATTGACGTCCATCCCAAGATTGGAGCTACAGGCAGCAGTCATGGGCACCAGACTCGCAGAAACAGTGGTCGAAGAACACGAGAGGAAACCTGATCGTAAAGTATTCTGGACGGACAGCAAAACAGTGCTAACCTGGATAAGGACAGGGTCACGTTCATATAAGCTCTACGTAGCTCATCGTCTAGCAGCAATAGAAGAGAGTTCCAAAGTCAACGACTGGCGCTGGGTTCCGACAAAGCTGAACGTGGCGGACGACGCCACACGAGACGTACCAGCAGCATTTAATAAAAACCATCGATGGTTGAAAGGACCTGACTTCTTATACCTAACAGAAGACTCCTGGCCGACGGAAACCACAAGAGCAACAGCGGAAGAACCTTCCGACGAAGAAAGGATACATCACGTGAGCAACAAAGGAAGATTGAAGATTGCAGAAGGTCTACCTGATCCAGCAAAGTTCTCCAACTGGGACCGACTCCGATACTCAACCGCGCGTGTTCTACAGTTCATTCAGCTCTGCAGAACCACCAAACAGAGAGTCAACTACAAAAGAACAAAGAAGAATAAAGAGACTGATTCCACTTGGAAAAAGAACAAAGCTACAGTAAAATATCAAGCGCTCACGACGACAAAGAAACGGCCGCCAGGAGACATAAAGCCGCTAATGGTCTCAGTCGAGCTGCTTAAAACAGCTGAAGAACTCCTGATGCAATCCTCCCAAGAAGAATCCTTTGCGGAAGAAATAGACAGCCTAAACAGCGGGAAGCCGATCAACAAAGAGAGCCGCCTTCGCCAGCTCAGCGTCGAGTCAACAAACGGCACACTACGACTTAGAAGCCGTATTCGAGCGGTCTGCGATATGGAGGAAGAATTCAAGAACCCGCTGATAATTGACGGTGATCATCATACAGTCAAGCACTGGGTGCAGGCTATACATCGGCAACTCCATCACGCTGGTGTAGAGGCCACAGTCAACGAGTGCCGGCAGCAGTATTGGATACTGAGACTGCGCCCTATCGTACGCACAATACTACGAAGATGCCTATTCTGCAGAATGAAGACGCAAGTACCGCCGCATCCGAGAACCGGGGACCTGCCGACATGTCGCTTAGCTCACCACAAGCGCCTCTTCACCTACACCGGGGTGGACTATTTTGGACCTCTTTCGGTGACCGTCGGACGAACTCGACAAAATAGATATGTGGCCATTTTTACATGTCTCACTACGCGAGCCATACATCTAGAAGTCACCGGCTCACTCAGCGCTGACTCCGCGGTAATGGCCATAAGGCGAATGATCGCGCGGTGAGGCTACCCGACAGAAATATGGTCAGACAACGACACCAACCTGAAGGCAGCCGATAAGGAACTACGACAGGTGGTTGACGCAGCGACCGCAGAAGAAGCAGCGAAAAGGACTATCTCCTGGCGCTACATCCCGCCCGGAGCTCCGTTTATGGGAGGAGCCTGGGAGCGAATGGTTCGCTCCGTCAAGACCGCTCTCATCGCGACGTTACACAAACGTCATCCGACAGAAGAAGTCCTCACGACACTACTGGTAGAAGTAGAATACACCGTCAACAGCCGCCCGCTGACTCACGTCTCAGTCAGTCCAGATGATCCCGAAGCTCTCACACCTAACCACTTCTTGTTGGGAGGACCGGGACGAGTACCACAGCCAGGCACTTTCACCGAACAAGACGCCCTCTTACGGTCAAGTTGGCGAGCTGCGCAGAGGCTAGCCGACATCTTCTGGCTACGCTGGGTGAAGCAGTACCTTCCGGAGCTACAACACCGGCGGGAGCCCCACGGACGGGGCCAAGCAGCACGCGTTGACGACCTAGTACAGATCGTCGATCCCAACCTGCCCCGCAACGTGTGGATACGAGGAAGGGTCATCGCTACCTATCCGGGTCCCGACAACGTCGTGCGGTCGGTGGACGTGCTGACCAAGGGAGGTGTCCTACGCCGGCCAGTGAGGAAGCTTGTGATCCTGCCTCTATCTACGAACGTCGAGCCCGCACCGGAAGCTGATGCGACGCGGTCGCACGGCGGGAGTGATGTGCGGGACAAGTGAAATCAAATAGTGATAGGATAATACATAAATAAAACGAACATTTTTATATTAATAAATAGTTGAGAGTAGAATAGGATAAGCGTTTATGTTATATTTAATTGAATAAAGATTATAGAGTTACACATAAAGTAGGATATAAGCATTTTGTGTTATGATAAGAAAATAATAGTTTAATGTTTATATTTGTATAATAGAATTAGTTAATGTAAACAATGACTCAGTAAGGTGGTCACCTTGTATAATAGAACTAGCTTAAGGTAAACAATGTAACGTGACTCAGCAAGGTGGTCACTTAACATCACTTGCTATGTCACGCCTCGCGCTGATTGGTCGACGCAGTTTGTACGATACGTACGCCGTATCTATTGACCCAGCCGAGGTGGTATAAAAGAGGGGCGATTTTCGTCGTTCGACACAGTAGTATTTTCCACCAACCCAGCACACAATTGTGCTTGTAGGGCACAGTTATTCTAATGTGTAGAATATTGTTATATGTTGCAATGTTGAAAAACAATGTTACATAATGTGGACGTATAATTAAACAAAAGTTACACAACATGTTACTTGATCTGTACGCACCGTTACAGTAAAAGATTCCGTAACATCAATATATAGGTAGACACGCGGAGTTAATAAAAGCGTGTTAAAAATACGATAGTCACAAATTTATTGAGAATGTTTTCATATACACGTAATTTCTTGTCTTTATCTAAAAGTGAATTGACAAACGAACTTACAGTCTATCTAATGGTAAGTGGTCATGTCTATCGACTGTAGTATACATGTAACCCACTTCAAACAAAGAAGGCTTCAGATGGTTTATCACTTTTGAAGACTTAGATAAAATGCCTCACAGCTCAAATTATACTGGCTCATTGTACGCTTTAGGCCAACACTCATCAGTGCAAGCACAGCTATTAAGTAGCGGAATAGGTAAAAGGGTACATAAATGTACTCCTAGGCAATTTCTATATATTATTATATAGAATATGAGTGACAAATGAGCATACAGTCCACCTGATCGAAAGTGGATGCTGTGGCCCATAGACATCTACATTTGTCCTCGATTAAGAATCAAAATGCAGATGCGATGTCACTAATGAGGACTAAGATGGAATGCCTCGTTTCCAGTTAAAAGGGTCTCTGGTACTCTACACTAACTAACACAGCAGCATTAACTTGCTATTTTACCCCGTTATTCTGTGAGAGCGGTGTCCTTCACCGGTCGCGCCGAATTATTCGTGCTACAACCATAATATAGCTGCAGCGTGGCTCTACCACGTATACTCTAGATGTAATATGTGTAGTGAATAAATAAATAAACATAAATTGTGAAATAAATACCATACCTCTATTCTTTAAATTACAAACATTGAACCAATTCCGAGCGCGTCAAAGTTAGAAACTCGTAATTGCTATATTTTCGGGTTGGCCCAATTTGCATCGTGACCAAGTTTTGAACCCGTTCGCAATGTTAAATTGAAATCAACTTTCCTTACTTGTACATGAATTTTAAAATTGCTTTTTATTTATTTAGTCTAATACAACACCTGTTTTTGCTTTGCTGTTTAAGTTACTCATTCAGGTTTAATCAGTGTCAGAATACGACATAGCCCAGCGGATTAATGGGCTGTAAGCAAAAGTGGCAATGGGCCGGCCATGTAGCTCGAAAAAACGCAAACTGATGGAGAAGAAAGGTTCTCGTGTGGCAACAACGTACGGCTAAGTGTAGGCTCGGAAGTTGTAGCAATAAATACAGGAAAACTTATAAATTAACAGCACTTTATCATTCCCTTTTGGTTAAAGAAGAAATTACCTTCGAAATACTTTCTGTAGTGTATAATTATCAATTATACACTACAGATATATAAATGAGGATTTTTTTATAGGATAGGGTGACAAACGAGCACACAGTCCACCTGATGGTAAGTGGTTGCTGTACCCATAGACATTTACATTTATCCTCAATAAAGAATCAAAATGCAGATGCGTCGTCACCCGTGAGGACCAAGATAGAATGCCTCTTTTTCAGTAAAATGGGTCTCCGGCTCTCTACACTGACCATACGAAACACAGCAGTGTCAAGCTGCCAATTTACGCAGGTATTCTGGGAGAGCTTGGTCCTTCCCCGGTCGAGCCGACCCATTCGTGCTACAACTATACTACTAATATAGCTGCAGCATGACTCTACGTACAAATAATCGAATAAAATAATAAATATTATAGTAAAAACTCTTATGTCTAGAACGAAACAATATAACACAATCATATGTATTGTAGTATGTATTTTGGTATGTTTACCTAGTACAGCTATGTTGCAGCTATATATTAAGGATGCAGCACGAATGGGTCGGCCTGACCAGGGAAGGAAAACGCTCTCACAGAATGCCGGCGTGAAACAGCAGAATAAATCTGTGTTTAGTATGGTGAATGTAGAGAACCAAAGACTCTTTTAACTGGTAGCGTAGCATTCTATCTTAGTGCTCAGGGGTAATCTACATTTTGATTCTTAATCAAGGATAGATGTAGGTATCTGTGGGCCACAGCATCCGCTTATCATCAGTTGGACTGTCAGCTATATAGTATTGGCATATTTTAGAAAAAGCCTAATTGATTACATAAGAAAGACTGTCAAAGAAAGAACTAGATCAAATCATCGGGTTTAAAATCGGGTTAATTAAGAAAATCATAAGGATTTTATTGATAGCTTATGCCTGATACTAATATATTAATAAACTATGGTTTTTGAAGTTATACTTTATTTCAGGCGTTTGGGAAAAGTTATGACCTCTTGGTCATAGAGAGTAATTGTGTTCTGTGGTTATGACAGTGAATTATTACGATGCGCGCGCACACCGATTCCTAAAAATGACACCATGAAGTTGTTACGATGCGCGCGCACACTGACATCTAAAAGCGACAACTTCAATGGGTAATTGTTTCTCAAGTTTTTTTGTTTTGTTACGCTAAAGAAATTTAACTTTTTACGTGCGTATATAAGTACACACACTTTTTTAATCTCTCATAATATGTCAAAACAAAATGGTCTCTATAACTCGTTCTTATTACAACACGTGCTTTATTTAATTGTTGGGTTTGGAATGAAACTGTGGATTAAAAAAAACAAAAGTATTATCATTATTAAACTTGAGTCTTGCTAGACGACTTCTAACGTTATCAGACTGATAAGTTTTACATATCAGACCTTGTAGTGTACGTAGTTCTTATTTAAATCACCACATATCTCCGTAAGTATGAAACTGTAAGTTTCCACTATCCTAGTTCTTTTATTTCTTTTGTATTATTTGTTTGCGTATTGTCCTCAAACGACAAATATAAAACCAGTCGTTGAAGCTCGCACAGAACATTGTTGGCTAGGATTTATTTTATACAACTTCGCGTCGTGTTTGTATATTTTATTTCATATTCTTGTAAGAAAACTGTTTAGAATATTTGAAAAATGTTATTCTTAAGCTCGTTAAGCGCATAATGTGTTGTCTAATTCTTTTTTCATTAATGATTTCTTATATTTACGCGGATACTACACATTTACATGATACTACTTTTTACGGATTTTATCGTGTATATTAACATAAAACTAACTAAGACTAGTTTTATTTAAATGTTTTTTGATTAATTGTAGCCATTATATGTTAGAGGTTAAGCGCTTGCTGTATTACTTCTCATTACGAAAGTATTCTAGATTCGACTCCCACCAGCACCAATAATGCAATGCAATTTTAAGTGCTATTTTATCATCTGTTTATCAGTAAGGGAACAAATCTTGACGCAATCTGTAAGTTTAAAGCAATGAAATATTTCAATGACACGTGAAGCCCGCCAAAAATCTCTTGAACACGAATCACTCCATAAACCTCTCAGAAACAGAAGGAGGTCTGTTGCTCAGTTGTGTGACATATGTTTACTTTATTAACTGTAAATTTTAAGATAAAGTTAAAGTTAGAGTATATATACGTCTCACTGCTGGGCACATGCCTCCTCTGATTTCTGAGTGGGGTTTAAGGCTAGGAAATGTCCGCCGCGTTGCCCGAATGCGTGTTGGCGATCTTGACATGTCTTTGAAATATTTTTTCGAAATTCTTAGATATTATTAGCACGAATGGGTTGGCTCGACCGAGAAAGTATCACGATCTCACAGAATACCTGCGTAAAATAGCAACTTAATGTGTTTCTTATGGTGAATGTAGAGAACCGGTGACCCTTTATACAGGATAAGAGGCATTACGAGTACCTCTTAATCTCCAGCGCTGACAAAACATCTGCATTTCGATTCTTAAATGATCAAGATGTACGTGTCTATAGGCCACAGTATCCACTTGCCATATTTTTAAATGCGTGCTTGTTTGTCACCCGTTCTCTTTAAAAAGATGACATCTTCTGGACTATTTACTAAGACACCTCTTACGATATTTATGCTACTAAATGGCCTCTAATAACAAAACCTATAAATATTTCAATGATAATCGTAGATTCATTTAACTAGGTGATAAAGTTCTTTACACTGTTGTGTAATTACAGTATCTGATGTATTATTAAGCTGAAGTTTTACGATTAAAAGCTCAAAACTTCCGATTTCAATTTACAACGCATCGGTAGTCATTTTTAAAGTAAATTTAAAGTGAAAATATAAAATTTACTAGGTAAGCTTCGCGTAAAATAACTAAACTGTGTGGAAATATAACGGTTATTATTTAATGGTTAGGCAACTCAACTATGTCGCAATGTGTACAAGTACACAAGATTATTAATTTTAGTGCAACGCCCTGAATCCGAATAAATTAAGAGAGAAGGCTAACAGCACTAACATTATCAAAATCCAGGACATCAAAGCAGCCTTTGATTCTTTTATGGAAGAGAAGGATTACGAGCATGCGGCTCACCCAGTAGTAAGTGATTACCGTCGCATATGAACAACTGCAACACTAGGGGAATCGCAGGTCCAATGCCAGCTTTTTAGATATGGGTAGACTCTTCTAGGA